AAACCCCCACTTAACCACCTACGTTTTTCTCCGTCTTACCCTCTGCTACGCTCTCTGTCTATGCGCAGAACGGACGAGAATCGGTCCGAGAGCGAGGTTACTCTCATTTTGAACGACGTGTACCATTATTTGCACTTGACGCATCGACGAACAACAGGACCAAGACGCCTCCGGACTTTCCTAACCTTTTCTACTCATTTCCATTCGAGAGAACTATTTTCCCATTTTTGTTCCATGTTACTTAACACTTTACCGGCTGGTAGCGGTTGAACATTCTACGCACTTTCGACCGGTCACTCGGCCACAGATACATCGGTGACACCGGCTCTGTTTAGACTCTAGGCTATTGCGCGGGAATATACGTGCTTTTTCTTATACCTGTAGAAATATTAAATCAAACTTTGACCGGTTAATAGGCTACCGGTCGGTAAGCGTCGGCGAAAAAAAAATGGATTAATAGGCTACCGGTCGGTAAGTGTTGGCGGCAAAAAGCCGATTAATAGGCTACCAGTCGGTAAGTGTTGGCGGCAAAAAGCCGATTAGTAGGCTACCGGTCGGTAAAGTGTTAAGACACACTTTTTGACGGACGAAGATGTATAAAAGGACTGGGACAGTTATATAGAATTAGTATGATTATTAAGATTTTTTAAGGTACACACGACTATTGCTACTGAATATTACGATAACACTTTGAATTTGGACATTCCGGACACTTTAAACATTACGTGACATTATTGAACATTCGGACATTATGGTACATATTAAGGGGACTTAAATACAACATTGTAAGGATACTCACACATTTTTTGTTACACTAAATTTGTGCTGGCAAATACATATGTATTAATTTATTTATTAAATAATCGGCTTTAGGAATTGTGTGGGAGCCAATAATCTGAATTATTCGAATAAAGAATTCGCATTCGAAATTATCCGAATTATTCGAATAATTGAACTATTCACGCTAAACCACCAGTTCCAAAAAAAAAAAAAAAAAAAAAACATTAACAATGAGAAAGTATTTCGGGAAATTTTCAGTAGCTTGGAATCGTTGGACAATTTTCCGAAGTTGTAAAAAACGCTCGAAGCTTCTGGAAATTTGTACGAAATTGTTTGAAAATAAAACCCTACGATCTCCTTCGTCTGCAATTCAACTCCTGGAAAATAAAAAATGATGAGAAGGTGATCGACTAGAATGATCTTGCAGTTTAAGGTAGAGCATCGACCTCGTAAAAATCGAAGAAATAAATTTTGGGAAATATGGACGCGGGTAACGAGCGGTGCCGTTTTACGAGATCCATGACGGAATCGTTGGCAGAAGACAGGGGATGTTTCCCTTACTCAGGTGGCCTGTTATCGACAGACCGTGATAAAATGGCGTAGTTTGCTCGTGAGAAACGAACCCCTTCGATCTTCTAATTTTCCTGATTCATCCACCGCCTTCTCCTTCAACAAATCCCTAACCCTTTCGTCCCTACTATGGCCATGTAACACCATTTTCACATACATTTTATACCAACATTTCCCACATGCTTTATTTCACACAATTCAACTAAAGCTCTTCCAAATATCTCGTGTCGTTTACAAAATTTCGAAAAAGTATCTTTCCCTCTAAAACGAAAGGGTTAAGTTCACTCACTCATTAATTATCAATTGAAACTTGCACAGTATGGTGTATTCGAATCATTACAATCATCCGAATTATTCGAATTATCTGAATGTAGAATTCGTATTCGAAAATTATCCGGATTATTCGAATAGTTCAACTATTTGAAGTTTTACAGTCCTACTCACAGTTCCGTCAAAATCGAATAGATAAAAAAATGACAGTATAAAAAGAGAACAAATAATGGAGTTTCAGAGCGGTCAAATATTTCATTAATTTCCCCGACAAGCGAGAAACGTTTTACAAAGGAGAATCGCAGTTCGATGAGCGTGATCGGTAAAATTTCGTGGTCGCAACTTTTATCCCCGTCGTTTCAAAGGGAACCAACCGGAACTTCCTTTCGCCAAAGGTATAGGGTGTGGGGTAGATCGCGTGAGGAAAAATATTTGCCTGTTTGTTCGAGCAGCGTGCTCGTGGAGGGGAACAGACGGAACAATTAATGGACGCGACTTTTCTGCGATTTCATCGATCCACGGTTAGGCAAGAGAAACTTTCCAACGTTGGTGCGGCAGTTTGGATAGAGTTAGAGGGGAAAAGTTTGTCGGTTCCTTCGGTAGGTTATCGAAGAAACAGTGGAATATGAATGGAAAGCAAGGAGATTACCCGATAACCCAGTTTTTCGGCTCTCCAACGATGGTTCCTAGGTATTACATAACGGACTCGGGCTGTTTTCAGATATTTTGGACTAGCTGTTTTATGGAGATTAGGAAGTTCCTAGAGATACTTTACGCAAAGTAGAGGTAGACACCCCAGATACGAAAAGAACAGTATTTTCTTTACTATGCTCGTGTACTATGCTTGTTTACTTTATACGTTAAAGGGTCCGTGCAAGTTATTTTTGAAAATTAAGCAACCGTGTCATGGGGACATATTCTTCGCCTATCGTTAGGTGTGTAATTACCTCAGAAGTAACCCAGAATTCCCTATTAAATATGAACATCTTTAAAATTCCAATATTCGTGATGGAACATTTATGAAGATTCGAATTATCCGAATGAAGAATTCGTATTCGAAATTATCCGAATTATTCAAATAATTCGAAGTGAATAGCTTGGCACCAAATTAACTTCGAAATTAATTTAATGGCGTTACAAGTTAAAATTACTTAAAGAACCGTTACTTCGAGAAATTCTTTGCGCTATTTAGTACAAGAGTGTGTGTCTATGTTATATACGAGTGAGAGTGTTACGACAAAGAGTTGTTTTACGAGTGTCCTGTCACGAAAATTCGGAATTTTATGCAAACTGCTTGGGCGGAGCTGCGTTGAGTTACCTTCGAAAACTTTACTCATTGGTGTGTGCTCTTCCATCTCCATTAAACGAAGAGTTCAGAGAGGTCAGACTGCTGAAAGACCGGGATTGTCTTCAAACTGACCTGGACTTTTCGTCAAATTTTCTGACGTGGCCATTGACAAAAGTGCTCTAGATCAACGAACGTTTCCGCCTGTTAAACTTTCCCTGCAGACGTGTCTGTTGTGTCTTAAGTTAGGACACAAAGCACCCAAATAATCAACCTTCAGCTCCGGGATAAAACACTCACAGCCCTCATTCCACACACACTTCTCAACCCAGAATTCTTGCCCCAGAAAACAGGAGTAAAAGCGAAAAATTCAGTGTATATACTCTGTGGAAAAGCAGCGTTTGCGCGACGAGAAACTCGATTACGAGTTGAACGTGGGACGAGGGGTCAGAGGTAAACAAAATAAAGGAGAAACTGTAAAAGAAAGGGTTCTAACGAAGCAGAAACTCTTTGGAGTCTGCGGCAATCAGAGAGGAGGACGTTCGATCTCTCCCTCCTCTCTGCCTCTGTCCTCACAGAGGAACAATGAGGAGATCGGTTACGTGCATTCAGGGTTTGGGTCGACGATGAATCGACCGAAATGTTCGTGGCATGGAAAAGGTCGAAAGAGGTGCGATTGTATCTGCCGCTCTGGTGAAAAGCGACAAATCTCCGACTAATTATTGCTTCCAATCGAGAGAATGGCCGAAGGCCGCTTGGCTTTCAGCTCTTTCTAAAGCGTTGTGGTGGTAATAAGTGTGAATGAAGTTGAACTCGATTGTTTTTCCGATTATTTCGGAGGGATTACAGTATCGAATCGAGGCTGTGAATTGTTTTGGTGTCCTTCAATTTTTTTTAGAAATTTTCCTTTTTTCGTTTTTAATGTAACCTACTGAATGGAGAATGTTTGAAATCAATCTTTGTAGGTGTTACAATGGTATCGAATGGTCTTGAAATAATCCTTTCGAATTCAATAAATTTCCCCCATTCAGAAATTGACGACAATTTATGACATGAATTTTACAAATTTCTTAAATTGAAATAATTTTTCTAACAATGTAGTTAATTACACCTACTATAACATAAATGTTTCCCTGTAATCGTTAAATAATATTTAAACTTCTTATCTATAAATTGACAACTAATGGTTTGAAGGTTTCATTTTATAATTTGTTCTTATGTTTCCCTATTTATATGTTAGAAATACGATAACGATATAATTGTGAAATTTATGCATGTCGCAGTGTGTTGTATTAGAATAAAAATTGATTCCTAGACAAGTTACGTAGAATTGGTCCGGCATTCAACTTGTTAAACGACTTATTAATTTACTTGTTATTCATGAACAACGAATAATTCCGGATTATTCTTAATTTAAGACGATGTAACACTTGCCGCACGCTTCCCACGCTGTGCCAGTGCGTTTGTTCACGATCGCGCGCGGATGAGAGCCAGCGCTCCCGTGGTTGAGCGCGGGCTCTACGCGCGCTCTGATTGACCAGTGTTTTTCGTTAATAATTCAAAAACGAAGCTTCAACCAACATTTTGGTAAAGGAAAAAGTTGTTCAGAGTCACCCCAGCAACCCTCCATTTCCGGGACACCCTGTATATTCATCTATTTTCTTTCATACTTTACTGTCATTCGTGCGAATTCCTGACGTCTCCGAAGAAAAGACTGCTACAACACATATACGTTTTCACTGCTCCAAGGTTCTGGGGTAAGTGCTGTGTTGTTTCTCACAGTCTTCCCCACTCCGTGGCCGGATCTTTCACGAACAATATTCTTATTTTTATAGCAATGCAACGGCTTGCCACCCGTAAACTTTCACCTGTCTTCTTCTAAACAATCAGCCCTATGACATCCGATAACTACGCGACTTCGAGTCACTAGCAATCGTTGGTCGTCTGGCTTGTCTCCTATCGTAAGTCAAGTACCTGCCATAAATCGTACGGAAGCAAAACAGGGGCGGTCACTTGCCTTCGACGATCCTTAAAAAATACGCTGGCGCTAACATATATTATTCATTCATTTGTATCACACGCGTTCGTTACTCACGAGAGCACTGTCGTGGCTCGTCACTGCGATCACCGCAGTCGTCGACGACGTTGCACAGCTTGTTCAGGGCGATGCAGCGACCGTTGCCGCATTGAAATTCGCTCTGCCGGCAGGAAAGCACCGTCGTCGCCATTAGAACGCAAACGAATACTGGCCAGTGCGTGTCTGAAACAGAAATTTACAATTGTGAAAAAATCCGTCCTGAAGACGGCGAAGCGAGCCACTTGAGGCCAGGCCCAGCACACACGGTGGAGGGACTTGCCCCTTTCGGTTTTTCTCAAGTCTCCTTCGAGCGGGAAGTGGACAAGGATCGGCAGGACGACGCACAGTGGTGTCATTTCACAAAAAGCTGGCAAAAATTCAATTTTCAAAGTATGCAACACCTTTTTGCTACTATAGCAGGTTTGTTGTGCCGCTTGAACTTTTTAAATATTACGATTGGTTACTGAGATATAGGTTCGAAGTTGACGAACTTTCGTGCTCCTTGAAAAGTCTTGAAAATTGGAGTATGTTTAATGTGTTAGGGAAAGTTTGTCTTTAAAAAATTCATATGTAAAACATTTTACCATTAAAGTATATAGGTAAGGGAGACTGGGGCTAGAAGTTACAACTTTAAAACGAAAAGAGATAGGATTGTGCTTTCAATTGTTTTCGCCATGTGAGTCGATCACATCACTCTGTCATCCATTTTAATAACATCCGCGACAACGAATCTTGTGGTTATAAGGAACCACCTAGTCACGTATCAGAAAAGTACATATTTGTCGTTCATTAGTTTTTCGTCTATTTCGATTATTTAACGTCGAAATGATAAACTGTTTCGTCCTTATGGATCAACTGACATTTAACACATTCCGTGCCACGTGTACCACCGATGGTACAAACTTTCAAGTCAGTACCAGCGATGGTACACGCTGACATATTTATTCTAGTATGACAGCCGTTTTTCTCGGCCTTCTTTGCTAATTTATTATAGAAGTTCGGTAACAGTTATTAGCATCAGCTTTACTCCTATGCATTTACTTGTCCTTGAAGAATGATTACAAATTTTTTTTGTTGAAAACTAATTAAATATGGCTGCTGTGGAACACGTCAAACACGAGCATGAAAAAAAAAAGTAGGTTCATGGTTGCCATGATTTGAGCTGTTCTGCTTATCAGAAATAAAGAAATCCAATTGATTCTTATTTAGTATGCATGTCGCTATGGTCGGTAATAGAATAAAAGAAAAATATTGAAAATTCAAAAAATGGCGGCACTTTGAATACGAAGTATCGATTTTTTCGACTTTTTCTCGTCTTTCAGAGGCTCTAAAAATCAGAAAAATATATATTTTGGCATAATTCTACTA